GTCTTCCCGACGATCGTGGGCTGAAAATAGGTCGAAGCACGGAAGGTTGCACGAGGAAAGGCTTCTGGTCTAACTCCGATAAAAGCCCACAAATCCCTCTGGCACAGCAGACTCCATAGCATAAAGAACACTCTAGCCTGAGGATCTGACGCTTGCTTAAAGAAGAGGACCCGATGAAAAGGGAAATCTGAAGCCGCAGGTGGTGACAAGGAGTACAGTACCTTCTCTAAGGAACCAGGTGAAAAGTATTGAATAGGTTATCCGGGTGTTCTAACCAACCCTGAAAGGTACATGCTCTAAATGACTACCGCCAGGATCTAGATTAGGTTAAATAGTTTAAAACTAGTGATAGGATTTCTATCCCCTAAAGATCCACTTTCTAGGTAGATCAATCCGTATAACTGGATAAGGCTATAGGTGGGAGTGCGAGTTAACTTAAATGGACTTTTGTAGTCATGTAATTGGATATAAATCACTCAATAAAGTCATATGCTATAAGTGCTCTTTACCTGAAAAAAAAATAAAAATAAATAAATAAATTTGATTAGACTTTTTAAACAAATTGTATATGTTACAAGTTTATAACTGGAATTTTTTATTGTTGTTTAAATGTTATTTATTATTGTTTAAATATTGTTTATTATATTAAATTATTTTTTTTAAGAATTTATTTTTTAAAACAATAAAATTAATTTTAATTTAAAATTTTATATTATATATTATAATCTTATTATATTTAGTTTTTTTTAAATTATTTTTTTAAAGTTAATAGTTTTTTTTTTGATTATTTAAAATAAAAGGTAATAAAATAATCAAGTAAAATTATATATATTGTTAATATAAAATTGATAAGTTTGTTATATCATAATTATTAATTATTTAATGTCAAAAAAAATATTTGAATAAATAAATATATTTGAAAAAGTAGTAGGTGATTGAATAAAGAGTTATTTTATTGTTATTTTTTTTGTTTATACAATTATTTTTATATACAGTATTATAAATAAATTACTAAAATTTTCAAATCTCCAAAATGTTAAAAATTTCAAAAATTCTACTAACCTTTCAGCTCTAATTATATTTAATTAAGTAATATAATTACAGTATTTAGCTATATAAGTAATTATTATTTTTTCTTTCTTATAGAATGTGTTTTTTTAATTGCTATATAAATTTTAATTTATATAAATAATTAAGGTGGTTATAAACTTTTGGTCATGAAATATATTTAAAAAAATTTTTTTTGCGTAACATTATTCTTTTCATTTTAATATATATATATATATATTCTGTATGTTTTATTTTATTTTATTAATTAGTTATTGATCATAATATATATTATTCAATTGAATGTTTACAAATTTTGAAATTTATAATTAGAGAAAAAATCAATAAAAGATAATTATTTGCAAATTGATAATTTAAACCATGGTTAATATATATTCAATGCATTGTATATTGTTTATTGATAGAAAGAAATTTTTTGAATATGATGTTTTTAAGAGATAAATTGATAGATATTCTATCCCCGAAATTTTTATATTTTTGAAAAAATTTATCGGAATGTTCTGCTATTCACCGAGGCAGTACCGTATTACTGTATACAGTACCGTAATACAGTATGGTAAGACAACATGTGTGTGAAACGTAGCATCGTTATATATACAAATCGAAGATATACCGATATCAATACATGTCTTTTGGAATAATATGGAATCACAGGATCATTTAGATGTGCTTTGTTCACAAAACTCGAATGCAGTTCCCAAATGTAGCCCCCGACATAATTCAAAACTGAGAAATAATAGGAAAAGTCGTGTTTGGAACTATTTCACGATATTTGATAATTCATCCAGTAGTAAAATTCACAAAGCAAGGTGTATACTTCCCGGATGCGGCAAGGAAATTTTTTACCGAGGTTCACTTTCAGCACTAAGATACCATTTAAGACATTTCCACAACATTATCATTGGTACGAATATATCACAATTATATAATCAAGATCAGCAACGAAGTCTATCTCAGTGTCATCCTAAGAAGCTTAGTTCTAAAAAAGGTCATTTTACAACTAGAGAAAATTTCTTGCAATTCATCAAGTACGCGAATCCTTATTGCATTCCTTCAGAGAATGTGAAATCACGAATGACTAATTCGTATAGTAACCTATTCTCTAAACTAAAGAGCATGCTTCAACAGGCCAACTCTGTAGCATTAGCAATTGTGTGTTGGGAACTTGATGGTCAGGATTCCTATATGGAAATAACATGCCATTGGATTTCCGACGATTTCCAACTACACAAAATTCTTTTGGACTTTGTCCCAGTTCCAAAATTTTTTGATGATAACGATATCCATAAAAGCATCAAAAGAGTTTTAAGCGCATGGGAGCTGGATGGAAAAGTTAATTCAATAACTGGAAGGAATATATGGGATCGAGTACATTTGGCCGTCAGGAAATTCAATAATATTACACAAGTTGAATGCATGTCTTTCGTTAAAAATTTTTCAACATACATTCTAGAACCGGATCTTGATTTGCATATTCCGACTTTTGAAGAAATGCACCAATTTTTATCGATAAAAGACGAAAAGAATATTAGAGAACTTTCCGGAAAGATTAGTACTGGCATAAAAAATTCTCAGCAACTGATTAAATATTTGATTAACTATGAAAATGACTTTCTTAAAGAAACACTTGAAGATAGTGAGAATAACGGAGTTGAAGATCTGAAAAGATGCATCAATGAACCAATATTTATGTTAGAATATCTGGTGGTATTAGAAGAACCGATTCGAAAGTTGATTATGACACTATCTGATAATTTAGAAACTGCGTCGAAAGGGATGTGGATGAACAATCTATTACCGGATGCTACCATAATTAAATTCTTTGATGATTTGAGTTCACATTTAAAACAACTAAAAGATGCTGTTAAAAAACTCGGTGAAACTCATTATTCATTTTACGATTTACTGGTTGAATATTTTAATTTGGAAGGTCAATTAGAAATACATAATGAGAAAATAGGGGAGAATATGGATGACGGTCAATTATTTTTGAATGAGATTCTTATAAAGTTTTTCATCTCGGACATTTTTGAAGAATTTAATTGTAGAAGTGATTATTTCACTTATTATAAAATTGCATCTTTAAATCCTCGATTCAAGGACATATTTAATGACGTAAGCAAAATTTTTTTAAAAAAAATGTCATTCTATATTTCATCACTAAAAAAGTTTCATTATAGAATTACGTTATGGTTGAAGATACCTATGACTTGATTGAATCAGAATATTTAGAATTATGCGAAGGAGAAACAACTCAAAGTCAACTTGTAAATTCTGAGCTAGCAACTAGTTCTAGCCATTTAGGAAATAACGAATTTGAAAGATATGAAATATTATCGCAGCATAATCAAAGTACATACGACGATCCAGTTGATTGGTGGCGTCAACATAGAAAAGAATTGCCTTTTATGGCGAAAATAGCGCAAAAGTATCTCGCCATTCCCGTAATATGCTATTCACTTGATAGAACCTACTCTGAACATTGCCAAAACCTAAAGGTTTTGTTAAATGATCTAAAAGATTTCGATGTGATACAAAAGTTTAAATTTTTGAAATATAATATGAAATATCTATATTAAAGGTAAAAAATGAAATTTGATTTAATAATTTAGGTGGGAGTATTTATAGCGTGTTGCCTTCGAATAAATATTTATTTTCCATCAACATCCTAACTTCTTCTGTCTAATTATTGGCGTTTATTCGAATGTATAGATCTAACCGCACAGAGTCATAAAAGTTTAACTAGATAAGGTATAAATATATCCAGTTTACTAAAAGATTTAGATACAGTATTTAGGTAATTGTATTTCGATTTAAATAGATATAATAATAATTATACAGTATGTAAATAAAATAATGACAAAAATAGTTTTTTTTTATTTACAATCAAATTTTGATTATTAAAAACAACGATTTAAATTTTTTTTAAAAATATCAATAATAAAAAATTTTACTTTAAGTTTAATTATTTAAAAATATAAAAACCAAATAAAAATATATTAAAAACCTATTTTACTTTAAACAAAATTTATAAAATAAAAATAACCGAAATCAATTTTTATATAAAAATCAAAATATTAAATCAAAAAATGTTTTTTTAAGAAAATTACATAAATATCCATTTTTTAAAATATACTGTATATATAGCGTGTATTTAAATTTTTAATAAATTTAATAGTATAATTATTTTATTTATTATTCAAAAATAATTATTATAAACCTGACTTTTTATCTTATTGGCTTTTAAATTTTATAAAAAAATTATAATTAACTTATATTTTCAAAAATTAATATAAAATAATTATAATATATTAATATTTGAATTATTAATCAGAATAAAATTAATAATTTATATGATTATATAATTGATAGATACAAAAATCAAATAAAAAAACAAATAAACTTTTTTTTATAAATAGCAAATTTTCCAAAAAAAATTTTTTTGATAATCTGCAGAAATATTTAAAAATACTTTAAAAAAATTTTTATCAAGAAAAAATTCTATTATTTCTTTCTAAAGTCAAAAAAATAATATATAAGAAATAGATATTATTGAATTTAAAAGAATATTAACATTTTTTATACAAATAAATAAACACATATTTATAATTCCTTGTTAAAAAAAAAAATAAAATAAAATAAACAATGTATAGCTACAATGTATAGCTAAATTAAAAAAAAAATTGTATTATATATTAAAAGCTATTAACCAATTATATATTAGATTAAATATTTTCTTTAATATTAGCAAAACTTTATATTAGTCAAATTATATCTAGTAAACTAAACAATCTGATTATTAAAACAAAATCAAAAGAATATTAGAACTTTTATATTGTAATTAAAAGAAAAGTATAAATCAAACTGTCTCTAAAATTAAAAACCAATAACAATTTATCTATTTCCAAAGATTAACAATAGTATAAACATATACTTTTTTATATTAAAACAAATATATTTAATCTTGAAAACTCAAATCAAGATTCAAATATATTTTTTTTTTTAAAAAAACAATATATTATTTTAATAAATAAAATTCTTTTCTTTTCTTTTTTTCAGATAAAGAGCACTAATAGCACATGATCTTTATTGAGTAATTTATATTCAATTACATGACTACAAAATCCATTTAAGTTAATCTGCACTCCCACCTATAGCCTTACCCAGTTATACCAATTTATCACCATGGGAGTGGGTTTGCATATTGGGTGGGATCTTTAGGAGATAGAAATACTACCACTAGTTTATAAACTATCTAACCTAATCTAAATCTTGGTGATTATCGTTTGAAGTGTGTACCTTTCAAAGTTAATTAGAACATCTGGATAATCTGTTCAATACTTTTCACCTGGTTTCTTAGAGAAGGTACTGTACTCTTTGTCACCATCTGTGGCTTCAAATTTCCTTTTTTATCAGGTCCTCTTCTTTTAAACAAGTGCCAGATTGGGATAGCCCTAGGCTAGAGTGTTCTTTGTGCTACAGAATCTGTCATGCCAGGGGAGTTTGTGGGCTTTTATCAAAGTTAGACCAGAAGCCTTTCCTAATGCAACCTTCCCTGCTTTGACCTGTTTTCAGCCACAATTATCAGGAAGATTAGAGGTCCCATCTAAAGATGGGTCCCTAAAGTATTTAGCATATAAAATTTACATCCTTTTACATCCACGTCCCCTAGAGGACATAATTCCTAGCTCTTTACTTCAATAGGGACATAATTTCAGAAATGATTTGTATAGATGTTTAAAACTATAAAGAACCTTTGTAGGTAGTTTTTTTTTATTCCTTAATATAGAAATGAAAATTTTTAATAGTAAGGGACATTTGAATTATATCCTCACAAATAATTTAGGGACCCATCTTTAGTCCTATCTTCATGCAACCTAACTAAATTTGGTCAGGATCCAGATGTTTGGAGTATAACATTTGTAGAAAAATCGGTAAACCTACAAATAAAGGATAAATTTATATGTTTTGCCCCCTGTGAGTATTGAACTAGGGACATGCATTTGGAGACCAGGGAGCATTATCCACTGTGCTATTGATTCACTGGTCAAAAAAAATTCTTTTCTAATTGCTTACATTTGAAAAAATTTACTATAAAAAAAATACAAAATTTTTTTACAAAAAAAAACTGTTAAAAATCTTAAAAAATCTTATATTTTTTCTAAAAATCAAGTTGTTAAATTGCTACATATTTTTTTTGATGTTTTTATTACTGATATAAATAAATACCTTGCAATTATTATTTATAAAAATATCAAAAACAATATTATATACTATTCAATTAATATATAATATCAAATTTATCAAGTTATAAATCTTTTAAAAAATAGTTAACTCCAATCCACATTCTAAAAAATAATTAAAAAAGTTATAAAATGTTATCAATATTATTCAAAATTTTAAAAAAAAATTAGAAAACCATTATACTGATATCAAAATAATCTTTTTAGATAGTCTTAATATTTTTAATTATTTTCTTGATTATTAAATATATTTTTTTTATTAAATAAAACAGAATCAATATTCTCAAATAATTGTTAAAACAAAAACTTAACTATAGATTCTATATTATCTGAAATAAACTTGATATAACCGTTAACAAAAAATTTAAACTTTTGTCTTGAAACAAAAAGCCAAAATCCTTATACCTTTCCAAACACATTTGTTCTAATTGAAAAAAATTGACAAGAATATTATACAGCTTGATTGTACAGATGAAATATATTATATTTAATTCTGAATATAAAAAAATAATCAACCCAGTTCTTATGTTACACATGACAATCAATTAATTAACTATATTGATATTAATAATACTACTTCTAACTATATTCTTCATATAATATAATACAGACTGACATTGATATAAAAATTGATAGTTATATTTCTTTCAATCAATTAATCAAAATTCTAAAATCTTTTTCCAATATATGAGCCAATAAAATTAATCAAATACTTGAGTCAATCTATAATCATATTATATAAAGAACTTAATTAATATGAATAAACTGTCAAATTTATAATAAACTTTTTTTAAGATCAAATATAATTTACAAGTTATCTTCAAATACCTTACAAGAAAATATTTGCAAAAATTAAGCATTATAATAAAAACTTCTTTAAATCCTTTATAAAAAATATATATATTAAAAAATTAATATTAATTAAAATATAAAGGAATTCCATCTAATTATCAAAAAACAAATAACATTAGCTATATTATAGGAATAATAAGAAGAAAAATTAAAATAATTATTAATAAAGCATTGTTTATAACCTACCTTAGATCTAATGACCTATCCACTCTCAAGTTTTGCCAAGTTACTTAATTATTCAAATATAGTTTTAACTTCTTTATGAATCCCATTCTTCAAAAAATTAATTATCATAAATCTATAATATTTATAAGAAATATATTAAAATTAATCTATCAAAACTTTTAAAAAATCTTAAAAATATATTAATTTCTATCAAAATTAAACTGTCCAAGGCCATTCCATTATTATCAGTTAAAGAAGCTAGTAAAGTGACAAGAAGTCTAAAAGCTTTTATAAATTCAAACTCTTTTCATTTTATTACTTATAAAAAAATCAAACTTTTTTAATTATTCATAAAATCTTAAACTACAATTCAAGGCAATCTTCTTTTTAATAAATAGACAAAAACTTGTTAATCTCAAATTTAGAGTTGAACAATTCAGAGAATACTATTATATTTCAAATAAACTTTCAAAAACATATTTAATTTTTTCTATCAAAAAATAATACTTTATTTCTCATATAAAAACCTTTCCATTTATTTTACTATTCAATTTTTAGTAGACAACAATATCAAAAACTTCAAAAGAGTGGTCAATTTGCTAAGTGATAATAACTATACAATGAAACATCTTCCTTTAAACTATATAAGAGTTAAACATCCATTTTCTTCATTACTCTGATATAATAAAAAAAATGTCATTCTTCTTTCAGTTATTGATCATAAAAATGCTAACAATTTTATTAAAGACTTGAAATTAAAATTCTTGTTAAAACTTTCACTAGGTTCAATAAATTAAAAATACTTTTAATTAAAATAACAGGCTCAAATTATCAGTTAATTTAAATATTATCAAATCAAAATTAGTTATTACAAAGAAACAGTTAAACAAAAATTTCTTCAATTTCAAAGCAACTATAACAAGAATTCTACAGAAGAAATCTCTAGAGACTGAATTACTTTTATTATATCAAACCTATTAGACTTACAAACAATAATCAAACTTTTATGAAATGTCAATTTAAAACTCTTACTTTTTTTGATTAATAATGCTCAACTAATTAATAACATTAAGGTTTTAAATAAACTTTTTTACTTTAAAAACTTCTATCCAACTTTATTATCGACCCAAAGTCACCAAAATCTGAGTTATTCTTACTTTTAATAATTTTCTAAAAATAACAAACAGATTCAACTTTATTTATTCATTTAATACTAAAACATATTCTCAACCTCTAAAAAGCAATACAATATAAATCTAAACTTACTACTAACTTTATAAAAAAATTTATATTATTCTAAAAACTCATTAAAAAATATCTTATAACTATTTTCACTTTAAATATTAGAGGACTTTTTCAAAGAGACAA